CCACTATTTACAATCTGATTGACCTTGAGCAAGTCAGTTACCTTTTCTGTGCTTTGGTTTCTTTGTCAATATAATTGGCTCATATGAAGATTAAATGAGTTAATATATGTAAACCATCTAGGACAGTACCTAACACAATATTAAGGGTTCAAAAAACGTTAGCAATAACTTTTCCTATAGATTATATTAGGAGATAGCTGTGGTATAATGAACAGAGATCTATTGGTGAAACCTAATCCACTTTCATATAAGAGTATGAGAAATTCACCATGTACAAACCCTCATGACCATTTAAACGTCTGGGTTCTAGAGCCACAGTGCCAGAACTGGAACTCAGGCTTCACCGCCTGTTAATTGTGTGACCTTAGACCAATTTTTTAACCTCTACATGCCTCAGTTTTCTCATCTACAAAATTGGGAATACAATAATAATCATCTGAGAATTAAATAAAATTCTCATCTAATATGAGAATTAAATAAAATTCTTCATGCAAAGCATGAAGAATTATGTATGGCACATAAGAAACAAAAAATTTATTAGCTAAAATCATCATTATCTTCAATCCAATTTGGTATGTATTTAATTAGTACCTACTACATACAATGCACTATATTGAGTAATACAAGATCCAGAACATGGGCTAAAATATCCCTATCCTCAAGGAGCATATAATATATTAAGGCTCAAGTCAAGTAAATAAAAAATTGATACAAGACAAAATGTGAAATGAACGAGTTCAAAAGTCCAATAAAAGGGTTTTGTGTATTCAGAGAGGATAAGGGGAGTATATCTGGATGGGGGTAATCAGAAACCTTCTCGTAAAGGAAGTACTTTTGGAACCTTGAATAATGGGTAGACTTGTAACAGGCAGAGAGACTCAACTGGGAAATTCCTTAATGAGAGGAATTACATTACATAGAAGGAAAAGATAAGGTTGTACTTAGGTAAATGAAGGTATCTTTATTGCCTGGAACATTATCTAGGAAAATTGGAACCTCTAAGAGTGGAAAGACAGTGTGAGCTAAAATTATGGAGGGTTTTGAATACATTACAAATTGAGGGAACAGAGTAATAGCAATCTAAACACTGCTTTAAGGAGACTTTTCTGATGCCAATGTTGAAAATGAACTAGAATGAAGGAAAAGAAGGAAAAGGTGAAGACCCCAGTTCTCCTTTTGTGTTCCTTAATTGTGATTTAAGTGGCTTACAGTAAAACAAAATGTAAGAAAATGAAATTAATAGAGCAAAATCAAGTAATAGAATGACAAGAGAAAATTTCAGAGAAGAAAAAATTGCTGAAGGCTTTTTCCTGTGTCTGCTAGTAGGCAAGGCAATGAGGGAAACTTTCAATTGATTAAATACCTCACATTATCTAGTACAAGAAGGGCACAAATTCATGGTGAAAAACACAGGTTTTCCTGATTCTTAGAGGCATCTTCCCTGTTGAACTTTTAAACAGATTCATTGTTTTCCCCAAAATTCATAGATGTCCCCTAACAAGATTTTGAATACCAGAAAGCTGAAGTAAGAATGTTAAAACATCCTTCTAGAAAACCAAATCTATGAAGATGGTGGTGAGGAAAGATATTTACGGAGTGATACCGTTTAGCTGTCCAACTTTGTATTGATATTTATTGACAGCAGAATTTAGCTTTAAACAAAGAAGAATAAACTGACAAACCTAAGATAAAAATTATGTAACAATAATACAGAAATCTTCTCAAGAAACAGAGGCGGCCTGCCAACTACCCATTTTATGGCCTTGAGGGCTTTAGTGCTCTCTAGAGAGAAGCAATCTTGTAAAGGTTCATACACTGGAGCCAAACAGGAGAATTTTGCAATAGATTAGTTCTTCCAATCCTCCACTCCTACCTGGGAATTCAGTCCATTCTTTTCTTCCTTCCTTTGACCTTCCTTCCATTAATATTTAGAACGAGCATACGCTAAGAGCTTGTCCCTGTCCTAGGTGCTGATGCTATAGTGATCGATGACTCAATTGTCCCTGTTGCCAAGGAACACATTGTATAGTAAGGTTGATGGGAAGGAAAGCATGTAATGACAACTGGAGAGAAAAACACTAAATAGGATACACAGAGGACTCTGGGGGAACTGGGAGTTCCTCCCTTCAATCTCAGCAGGGAATGGAAAGAGCTAGTCAAGGAAGGCTTCCCAAAGGTGGTGACAATTACATCTAGTCCTCTAGATGACAAGGAGATCGTCTCCTCAAGGGGAGAAGAAGCAAGACCACATACAAAGGCCTGAACTAGAAAGAATACATGGCTCTTTGACAATGAGCTCTGCTTGCACTCTCTTGTGACACTTCGTGTTGTTATCGGGATGGGGAGAGGGGGTAGAAATGGTGAACCTGGAGAAGGAAGCAGAGATCAGAATATGGAAGGTCTTTCATGCTGTGCTCAGTTGACTTTCTTTCAAGGCCAAAGGAAAGCTGTTCAATGAGAAGTGTTAGGTAAGGAAGTGACATGATCCTATTTCCCTTTTAGAAAGTTCAGGCTGAGTGCACTGTAGAAATAGATTTAAGTGGGCTAAACTATAGGCAGGACACAAGGTAGAGAAGGAACAGAGATTGGGAAGTCACCAAAGATGAGAAAGCCTAATGAGAAAGGAGGGGTAAGTGAGAAAGAAGAGAGATGGCTGGATTCAAGAAATAAAAAGGAGAGAGACAAGGGGACTTGATGAATAAGCAGGTATAGTTTGCTACCCTAGTTGAAAGTCAGTTACAAACCCATAATAGAATAATAGGTAAAGTAACTTATCCAGTAAATTCCAAAGACAGTAATGAATTAATAGCATTTCCCAGTTCTCCTCAGAACTAGCTTTTAGAATGGTATATAATGGATACTAATGAAAATAATAATTTATAAACTACACCAAGCACTAACCATTGGACAGGCACAGTGCTACCAGCTTTACGTGTATTTTCTTGCTCTATTTTCCCAACAACGCTGTGAGGTAGGTACAGTTATTATCTCATATTACATATAAGAAAAGTTAGGCAGTGTCACCCATATCATTCATTTTTTGGTTGATTCAATAAACATATTACTTATTTTGTATGTACCAGTCATTATGTTAGGGGATACAGAGGACAAGGAAAAAGAATACACGGTATTTGCCCTAGAGATGTTCATAGCTAAGTGAGAATATCAAATACTGATAAATGGAAAATTCCACTGTGGTGTCTTAGGTGCCATCACAGCAGTCTGGCCCAAAAACTATGGGAAGATTTTGGAAACAGTCATCTTTAACAAAGAGGGGAAACTTCAGCTCAAATGTACCTATCAGCATACATTCCCATTGGCAGATAAAAGCCAATAGTTGGGCTACTGTCTGCAGTTGGGCTGGCTGTGCAGTGAATAAATTTCCCTAGCCATGAGAGAAAGGGGTACAGAGTGGGGAGAGTGGGTTAAGGTAGTACAGGTTCATGTAGCATTGGAGGTAGGGGGACTTCAAGCCAAAAATCCATCCCTTCTCCACTCATCAAACCATGCCCTCTGGTTCCAGGTCTATATCTGCCCAGAGGAAAGTACCATACAGGTCAGTGGCAGCCATGGCCAATGACATGTTTAGTGTCCAACAAAAGGAATACCATCATTATTTTATAACTGACTTCTCCCTGCTTGCCTTGTTCTTCAAGAAACACCTCTAGATAGGGTTGAAGGTAGTCATTTCCTCCCCAAATTAAATCCCCTCAAACTAGCGTTTGGTTTTCCAAACCCTGAGCCCTGACATTATACATAACGAGGATAGGTGAGATTAAGGCAATGTAAGACAGAGTCTTTTGGAAACCATAAGGACTTTTTCAGGTCTCAGTCCAATGTCTTTAACTTATGGCCCAAGAACCATGGTAGGATCCAAGGGTTATAGCTGAGACACAGAGGTTTCCAAAATTATTAAGGATTTACTATTTTTTTCAATCTCCCTTCTATCTGCAAGCTATTCCTGCCGATAAAACTACTGTAAATTTTTATAGTCATTGCTTTTATTTCCTACTTGAGTAATAAATATTTCCCAGCACTAATAAAATTATCATTTTTGTTTGTGTTTCTCCCACCTATGACCTTAGAATTACTGTAAATAAAATATATTATAATAAAATGACAGTAAACATTCAAACGAGCTCAGTGTTTTTCATTTTCTTATGTACACTCTCTCTTTGAAAGAGAGATTAAAAGAAAGTAAACCATGGAAGATTGTAAAGCAGTGAGCATGGAGTTTACAGTCCATGGTTTTATTTGTATAGCAAAGAGTCATGGGCCCAGTGCCTGTTAACTGGGTATATAATGTCTAGACTCTTGAGCTTAGAGGCTCAAGGAAGGAATTCAAGAACCCCCTCTGCAGGAGTGCTGCGGTACTCAGAGAATCCCATGTGTGAAAAATTACACCGGCAAAAATTCCTTCCTCACATAAACAAGACCAGGGGAAAAGACAGGATATCTAGGAGGGAGTGGAAGCATTCTGAACTAGCTCAGCTTTATGGTACCTTATTTATTATTAAAATGACAATGTATATTTTGTAGGCAAATTTTATTGCACCAATTAACTCATTAACAACCTCTAGAGAGAAGCCAGCCTCCTTTGCAGGCTGGTTTGCACAATTTTAATGACCCAGATAAGAGAAAATCAGTGTGCCAGGTTCTGGAAAAGGCCCAGGACTCTACGAACAACTTTGATTTATTCACTGCATCATCTCATAGAAAAGTGTGAATTGTGGATTAAAATAGAGAAGAATTCCTCAATACAAAGACGACAAAATAGGTATGGCTAATTTAAACCAGCAATGTTTATGGCATTCAAATTTAATAGAAAAAAAATCAGACTTGATTCCCTCCCCCTACCTCTTCTGAGTTGGAACAGGAGCTAGTTTATTCTAGAGACCACATTAGCCAAGCTGGCTGGGCTTTCTGACTGGGTAGAGTAATGTAAAGTGTGGGACAGGAAGGAATTTGAAGGCTAGCTCAGCCTCTAATGCACTGACTGTTTAATTGGCAACACTGATGTCATCTATGATATTCTGAATGACATCCGATGTGGTACCCTGGCCTCCAATGTCTGGAGTTTGGATGTCTTTGTTCTCCATGGATGCCAAGACTGCAATACGAATGGAGGTGGCAGAGGAATGGAACTTGAGGTAATCCAGAATGATACAACTTGCCAGCAGCATGGCAGTAGGGTTGGCCACATTTTTATTGGTTATAGTCTTGCCTGATTGCCTTGAGGCCATTTCAAACACCGCATATATGTGGCCATAGTTGGCACTAGGCACAAGGCCTGCTCCCCCAACCAACTCTGTGCAGACGTTATTGACAATGTTGCCATAAAGACTGGGCATCACCATGACATCAAACTGCTGGGGCCAGGATACCAGCTGCATGGTGGTGTTATCCACAATCACGCCCTCAAAAATGAGCTGAGGATAGCAGGATGCCACCTCCCTACAGCACTGGAGGAAGAGACCATCTCCCAGTTTCATGATGTTGGCCTTGTACACAGCCGTCACTTTTTCACACCCCATCTGCTGGGCCAGCTGGAAAGCATATTCAGCAACATGCAAAAGCTTGGCCTTAGGAATGATCTTTAAGGCTATCACTCCTTTCACACTCTCATGCTCCAGGTTGCTGTATTCACCCTCTGTGCTTTCCCGAACAACTAAGATGTCTGTGTCTTGTGCCTAGTTTCCACACCTAGTAGACTCTTAAAACGAATGACGCTGACATAGAGATCTAGAGTACCGCGAAACACACTGTTTTGTGATTTGTGAGATGGTGGTAGGTTGTAGTCAGTTTCAAAGTTACCCTTCAAGGCCACGTGGTTTTGATGGACTGCCATGATGGCACTGTGAACTTCTTCCTCTTCACTAGAAGTGGAGGTAATCTGCACTTCCTCAAAGTCCACGGGCACACACACATGTCTGAACACATTCTTGTTGCACAGCATAAGTTCAGGTCCAATGCCATCCCCAGGAATCATAGTCACAGTGTGTCACCCACCATACTTAGCTGCTGGAGGAATGTTGTGTTTAAAAGAGAAGCTCCTCAGCGAGGTCTCATGGCCAAGGAAAATCTCCCAAGAGTGGCCTAGAATAGTTGGTGGGAACATGGCCTTCACAGAGCACCTGGCAGCTGTCAGCATCTTCAGTGCCATGATCCATAAGTAGAGATTTAATTTATGTAAAAATATGTGCTTTTCCTCTTGGCTTGAACTGGCTTCTTTTGGTGGAATTCTAGATCCCAAATTCTTGCCTCGGTCACAGTTGTCTCTCCTTCCTTGTACTCTATTTTGGACAGATATTCTACTGCAGTGAGAGACAGAGTACTAGTCACAAGGAGATGTGTTAGAGTAGAAAATACACTTTGGAATTGGACAATTCATTAAGCACATTCAATGTACCCATATGACATACTTAAAAAAAGACTTCATATTTTATAACTTTTAGGTTCACAGAAAAATTGAATGGCAGGTATAGAGATTTCCCATACAAAGATTTCCTTGCCTCAAAACTACAAGTCAGCCCTTCTGTTTATTTTTTTTCCCAGAAAGCTAGCTATTAAGCAAGTACCAGCACACCATTGTTAATACCTTCTCCCAAGTAATATGTTTCCTTCACTGGGATTAGCACTCATGTCAGGTCTGTCAGAAATTTAAATCTCTTTCTAATAAGTTCAAACAATTTATTATTCTCCATTAATTATATTAGGAAACAATCCAAGGGCCTATTTATAACTTCAATTACAGTTGTTTTAATTAATTAAAGCTATTGATGGGATCTGAAATTTGTTTTGGTAACAATTTAGTTCTTGATTACAGAAAACTTTCTATTGATATTATTTATCTTTATTACATTTGTTTTATAGTCCATCAACTTCTACCAATTTTTCTCAGTCATTTAACAATTAAACTTGAAAGTAATGCCCCCAAAAAAGATTTCCTTGCCTCTACAAAGGCACAGTCTCCCCAGCTATCAGGATCCTACACAGAGTGGTACATTTGTTCCAAATGATGACACTACAGTGACACCTCATTATCACCTAAAATCCATTGTTTAAATTAGGGCTCACTCTTCATGTTGCAAATTCTGAGTTTAGAGAAATGTATGACATATATCATCTAGTAGATTCATATAGAGTAGTTTCATAGCCCTAAAAATCCTCTCTGCTTTGTCTCTTCATGCCTCCCTCTCTGCAACCACTGGTAACCACCTATCTCCTTAGAGTCTCCAGAGTTGTGCATTTCCCAGAATGTTGTATAATTGGGATCATACACTCTGTAGCCTTTTCAGATTGGCTTCTTTGACTTAGTAATATGCATTAGAATTTCCTCCATGTTTTTTCATGGCTCTGTAATGCATTTCTTTTTTGCACTGAATAAAATTCCATTGTCTAGGTGTACCACAGTTTATCTATTCACCTACTGAAGCACGTCTCGGTTGTTCCCAAGTTTTGTGAATGATAAACAAAGCTACTATAAACATCCATGTGCAAATTTTGTGTGGACATATGTTTTCAGCTCATGAGGGTGAATAGCAAGGAGCAGAGTTGCTGAATCGTATGGTAAAAGTATGCTCAGTTTTGTCAGAAGCTGCTAAACTGTCTTCCAAAGTGGCTGTACCATTTTGCATTCCCACCAGCAATGAATGAGAATTCCTGCTGTTCCATATCCTTGCCAGCATTGGTGCTGTCAGTGTTCCAGATTTTGGCCATTCTAATAGGTTTGTAGTGGTATCTCGTTGTTTTAATTTTCATTTCTCTGATGACATATGATGTGTAACATCTTTTCATATGCTTATTTGCCATCTGTATATCTTCTTTGATGAGATATCTGTTAAGGTTTTTGCCAATTTTTAAAATCAAGTTATTTGTTTTCTTACTGTTGAGTTTTAAGGGCTCTTTGTACTTTAGATAACAGTTCTTTATCAGATGTGCCTTTTAAAAATAATTTCTCCCAATCTGTGGCTTGTCTTCTCATTCTCTTGACAAAGTCTTTTTGCAGAGCAGAAGATTTTAATTTTAGTGAAGTCTAGTTTATTATTTCTTTCATCGATCCAGTCTTTGGTGTTGCATCTAAAAAGTCATCACCATACCCAAGGTCATCAATAACAGATTTTCTCCTAGAAGTTTTGTAGTGTTTCATCGTACATAGAAGTCTATGGTCCATTTTAAGTTAATTTTGGTGAAGTGTTTGAGGCCTGTGCCTAGATTAATTTTTTGTATATGTTGATGTCCAGTTTTTCCAACACCATTTGTTGAAAAGACTCTCTTTATTCCATTGTGCTGCATTTGCTCCTTTGCCAAAGATCAATTAACTATTTACATGGGTCTGTTTCTGGGCTATTATCTTCCATTGGTTTATTCATCTGTTCTTTTGCCAACACCACAGTGTCTTGATTAGTGTAGCTTCACAGTAAGTCTTGAAGTCAAAAACTGTCAGTCCTCCAGCTTTGTTCTTCTCCTTCAATGTTGTGTTGGCTATTCTGGGTCTTTGGCTTCTACATACAAGCTTTGGAATCAGTTTATCAATATCTACAAAATAACTTTCTGGTATTTTGATTACGTTTGCATTGAGTCTTGGAAAGAGTTGATATCTTGGAAACTTAACAATATTAAGTTTTCCCATCCATCAATATGGAATGTCTCTCAATTTATTTAATACTTCTTTAATTTCATTCATCAGAGTTTCATAGTTTTCCTCATATAGATCTTATATATATGTTGTTAACGTTTATACCTAAGTATTTCATTTTGGAAATGTTAATGTAAATGATACTGTGTTTTTAATTGAAAACTGGTGTGTAAGAAAGCAATTGACTTTTGTATATTAACCTAGTAACCTGCAATCTTGCTGTAATCACTTATTAGTTCCAGGAGGTTTTTCTGTTGATTCTTTCAGGGTTTCTACATTGATGACATTGTCATCTGAAAATGAAGACAGTTTTATTTCTTCTTTTTCAATCTGTATACTTTTTATTTCCTTTTCTTGTCCTATAGTATTCGCTGGAAATTCCAGGGTAATACTGCAAAGGAGTGGTAAAAGGGGGACATCCTTGCCTTGTACCTGATATTACTGGAAGAGCTTTGTGTTTCTCATCATGAAGTATGATGTCAGTTGTAGATTATTTGTAGGTATTCTTTATCAAGTTGATGCAGTTTTTCCTCTACTTCTAGTTTACCGAGAGCTTTGTATAATGAATGGGTGTTGAATTTTGTCAAATGTTTTTTTGCATCTATTGATAGGATCATGTGATTTTTCTTTTTTAGCCTGTTGAAGTGATGGATTACATTAATTGATTTTTGAATGTTGAAACAGCCCTGCATAACTGGGATACATATCACTTGATTATGGTGTATGTCTTTTTATACATTGTTGGATTCAATTTGCTAATATTTTGTTAAGAAGTTTTGTACCTATGTTCATGAGAGATACTGGTCTGTAGTTTTCTTTTCCTGTAATGCCTTTGTCTGCTTTTGTTACCAGGGTAATGTTGGTTTCATAGACTAAGTTATAAAGTATTCCTCTTGCTTGTGTCTTCTGAAATATATTATAGGGAACTGGTGTAATTTCTTCCTCAAGAGTGTGGTAGAATTCACCAGTGAACACAACTGGGACTGGGGATTTCCATTTTGGAAGGTTATTAATTGTTGAGTCAGTTTTAAAAATATATATAGGCCTCTTCAGATTGTTTCTTCTTGTGTGTTTTGTCAAGGAATTAGTCCATTTCACCTAGGTTATCAAATTTGTGAGTGAAAAGTTGTTCTTAGTATTCTTTTATTATCTTTTTAATGCCCATAGGATCTATAGTGATGTCCCTCTTTTCAGACAGTAGTAATTTATGTCCTTTTTTTCTTTTTTTTTTGTGTTAGCTTGACTAGAGGCTTATCAATTTTATTGAAGTTTTCGGAGAATCAGCTTTTGGTTTCATTGATTTTTCTCTATTGATTTTTTTTCTTTTCAATTTCATTGATTTCTGCTCAAATTCTTAAGATTTCTTTTTCTCTGCTTACTCTGGATTTAACTTGCTCTTCTTTTTCTAGTTTCCAAAGGTGAAAGCTTAGATTATTGATTTTAAATCTTTCTTCCTTTCCACTACATGCATTTATTACTATGTATCTCCCCCTAAGCACTGTTTTCACCACATCCCATGAATTTTGTTGTGTTTTCATTTTCATTTTGTTCAAAATATTTTAAAAATTTCTTTTGCGATTTCTTCTTTGACCCATATGTTATTTAGAAATGTGTTGTTTAATCTCCACATTTAATTGGGGATTTTTTCAGCTATCTTTCTATTACTGGTTTCTAATTTAATTCCGTTGTGGTCTGAGTGCAGACATTGTATGATCTCAATTTTTTTGGATTTGTTAAGGTGTGTTCTATGGCCCAGAATGTGGTCTTGGTGAATGTTCTATGTGAACTTGAGAAGACTGTGTATTATGCTGTTGCTGGATAAAGGAATCTACAAATGTCAATTATACCCAGTTTACGATGACACTGTTGAGTTCAACTATGTCTTTACTGATTTTCTGCCTGCTGGAGTTTGTTCCTTTTATTGTTAACTTTTTAAGAAACTGCTAAACACTTCCCCAAAATGGTTATACCATTTATATCCCTACCAATGTAAGAGAATTACAGCTTCACATCTTCATCAATACTTGGTATTACTGTACTTCTATTTTAGCCATTCAAATAGGTTTTGGTGGTAGTGTCTCACTACGTTTTTGATTTGTGTTTCCCTTCTCACTATGATATGGAGTGTCTTTTAATATATTCTCCCAGACCAGAGCTACAAGCATTAACATCTGATATTTCTAGAAATCAACCACTCAACCCTGGAAGGCAGGCAAACTCTTAGATTCCCAAAGCTATACCAGTTATGCACTTTAACTGAAAATTAAGCATATCTTTAATTTTAAGCCAGCCACAATCCCATTCTCACTTAACTTTCGGGCACCACCACCCCTGATGTAGGTTAGCGGTTGTTTGGGGAGGTCAGTGGCTTATTTACGAAGACTTCCAAAGGCTGTCAAAATTCAAGAAGATGAAGATGCAGACTTAATAGTGGCTACCACTATGTAACACTTGCCACATTTAAGGTACTGTGCTGAATATTTTATATACATCACCATAATCCGCCAAGGTAGGCATTATACTTC